TAACTTCTTTATCTAATCTCAAAATGGCTCGGTGCAATGGGTTGCATCGACTAGCTCCTCAGTGCCGGTTAAGGTGTCCCAAGTGCGCCCTGGTTCTGTGTCATAGTGCGAATGGAACGTGCACATCTTAGCACTGGTGCGCCCTAGCCATCAAATGGAACACGAAAGCTGCCCTGAATGCGCACCAGTGTGGCGAATGGAAAACGCTATTAGACTCGCCTCTGGTGCTTACTGTTCCTATCTCGTGGCGTACCTGTGTTTTGGATGGAAGTCTTTTCTTCGTAAGAGGTGAGTCGCGAGTCGCCTTACCTTTCGACTAGCTCGGTCGGTAGAAGGGTGGCCTGAAAACAAGGGATGGCGGGCGTACGTTGTTTCGAAGTAAATAAAAATTTTACGAGATGAGTTTAATATCAAATTTTAATGATCTAAATAAAATTAACATATACATAATTTCCTTAAACCTAGCACGAGCTCGTATTAAATGTCCCACAGTGGTAATCCAAAATTATAAAACTAAATTTTATGACATAGTTTACATGCTTTTGTATCGCAGGTTCTTTATTTGCGAGCCAAAGCGCGGCTAAGTATCTTTTCTGTAGCAATTAGCCCTGCAATTTAAGAGTAAATTTGCTTAAGTACCTGAGGGGCAGTTGAGAGCTTATTAGCTAAAGCTCTTGAAAATATCATCACCGTGGCGGTTGACTCGAATCCGTTGATCTGCCGGGTCAAGGTCGCTTGCCTCGCTGCGGAGACCCGGGCGGCCGCTCAAAGACCGCGAGAGTGCGGATAGACGGTTCCGCTCAGCTGGCCGGGTCAACACTCTCCAGACAATGAAGCTCTGGTTTGACGACAGCGGGCGACGATCGCGGTACGTTCCCTAGTCGCTTCCGCGTGACGAGTAATAATACCGGTCGTAGTCAGTGCTACGAGCAGCGTTTATGACTGATAAGACCGTCGGACTTATAACAGAGATGGATTTTAATTCAAACGTGACTGAACTGCGAACACTGCGGGTCAACAAAATTTCCAAGTCCGAATTCGACTGTTACGTGATGAGCTCTGCTCACGTCTCCTCTCTCCTTCTTCCCCAACTTCACCCCGTGCTCGCCTCTCTGATTCTGCCCGTGTCGGCTCGCGCAACCCTTGTCGAAAACCCTAGTTTCCTCCACTATAATTATAAAAGTTCTGGAAAGATCTACAGATTTTAGCAATCTGGTTGGTGATAGGTTGCAAACATGTGTGCAGTTGAATTACGTAGTCCAATCGCTGAAGGCGTTTTAAAGGGAATTCGGGTGAAAAATTTTCAGGATTCGCGGTCATATGTATCCTTGTCTAATACCGTGTTTACAAGAAACACGTGCTGATCGGAGTAGGTCCAGGACGGACATAATTTTTACTTAATGGCCTGTGGGTGGCGCCGCAGGCACTCAAAGGGGGGTGGTTATGTCGTTTCTGATGGTGTGTGTGTTTCCTAAAGGAATAAGTGGTGACCGACTCGGAATGTGATCCACGGGCTCTCTCTCACAAGAGGGTAGTCAGCTGTGCGGAGCGAATCAGGAGGAGAGGGGGTCGCGGACGCGTTGAAGAGATCCTGGCCTGAGATGGGCGCGTGAGGGACAGCTCGGGTAGGCCGGCTACTCTAAGAAAGCTAATGGAAATAATATTATTTAATAATACTGTATTCGGTTACGCCAAAATATATCTTTGCGTATAATATGGGTATTATTCGTGGTTGCCGCCCTTTCCTTACCGTGCCTTCGCCACCTCCGCTTCCGGGCGTGCACACCACGACGTCACAGCAAAACATTCCGGGAAAACACATCCGGAAGTATACACTGAAAGACTTGATGAAATATTTTATCGGTTTTCCCATTTGAAGCTAGGAGGTGCATAATGCCTGTTGTACATCGAAGGTCAACATCCCTAAGGCGTTTGATAAGCCCAAATCTTACTTCACTTTAAAAAAAGTATTTTTATGAATGTCTGTTATCATATAAATTTAAGCAAACAATCCCTCTTCAAATTGCAGACATTCAGATTTTAACAATCAAAATAAATTATTTCTTCCTCGTCGTTCGTTCCCCACCCCACTCCCTTCCATGACGGAAATATTTACTTGGCTCGTAACAGTCGCCAGTTTTTTTAATAGTTTAACTGGAAGGAGCAGCAGAATTATGCATGCTCACAGTATTAATGTTTTGTATAATATTATAAATAATGTAAATAGTTTAGAATAGTTATAATTACATTCCAACTCTATTTTTTAGAAAGTAACCTGCCAACTTGTACCGTAATGATTTAGGCATATAACTGCAATATAATCCATTTTTTAATATGCATTTTTTAAATCGGATAACTATAAGGTGTAGCCGATACGTTGCGCATACAACAATATAGAAAAAAAAAATAATCGCATGATGTATATGTATATCTGAATGTCTGAAATGTGTAGAGGAACCATTTGTTTTAAAACAAATCTTCCTAGCTTCTCGCAATAGTAGCGTACTCACAATCAGACTTTCAGGTTGCAGAAAAATGTACTATTAATAAGTAAATTATTTCTGCAAGCCTTTACTCACTGAGGTAAGAATCTCAATATTTTCTTGCATTTTTATTCGCGAAATTGTTTTTCCAAAGTTATGTAAGTGTGGCAACATATTTTTATGTGGTTGTTATTTTTGTGTTAACTCTATAATTTCGATAAATGCATACGTTCCAACTTATTTCGTCATTGTATCGTTAGACCCGTAAAAACGTGTACATTTTTTTGAAAATACTAGTAGTTTTCGTTGCCGTTAATGATAAGTCCGTGCAATTGCAGCATTCATTCTCTCTTTCTTTCTTTCTCTCTCTGTCTCTCTCTCTCTGTCTCTCTCTCTGTCTCTCTCTCTCTGTCTCTCTCTCTCTGTCTCTCTCTCTCTGTCTCTCTCTCTCTGTCTCTCTCTCGCTGTCTCTCTCTCTCGCTGTCTCTCTCGCTCGCTCTCTCGCTCGCTCTCGCTCTCTCGCTCGCTCTCTCGCTCTCGCTCTCTCGCTCGCTCTCTCCCTCTCGCTCGCTCTCGCTCTCTCGCTCGCTCTCTCCCTCGCTCTCTCTGGCGCTCTGGCTCTGGCTCTCATCGGAAATATATATATAAACTTCCGAAGTGAAATGCCTTTATTGATCAATAGAAGTCGCACATGGGGATTTTAGGCTTATTGATTTTGTTTTCCAATCTAAATTTTGTTTTTGTCGTGTTGAATTAATTTACTTTCTAAACTTACTGATCACACTTTACAACATAGGGAATACGAAATCAATGTATGGGCTTTAAGAATATAGGGACCCATAATACTTTTCAAGGGTAGATATCGAATATTGACTGAGACATAAGCGATGCACTTCTCATCTCCCGTGATAATGCGTATTCAATGGGGTGGGGTTTCGTTGATTAAAAGACCAGATAATATACTTTTGAGAAAAAGGGAGAGTAAGTGAAAGAAGAAACAACCTTCTTTCCAAGTCTGTTGTGAGCAAATCTAGGCAACAAACCCAGTGTTCCAATTGAAGAGTATGTAAAAAACAAGTTTCGCCAAACGGTATGCTTCGGTTTTTCGTGCTGCAATTTTAGGGAAAGTATTTTCTTCGAGAGTGGGTCAAATGAAATCAGGAAATATTTTTTACAACTTCTGAATTATAGATTTGGAACAAGTACACTATTTTTCAATGTAGTCCCCCTGCTTTTCGATGCATTTTCGCCCCTGAGTCGGGAGGGCGTGGATACTCGTACCTCGGAAAAAAACATTTTGGCCGTGAACGCAACCACTCATGCACCGCCTGTTTCACCTCCATCGGCCGCGAACTTATTTCTACCTCTGAAGTCCTTTAGTGGGCCAAAGATGTAGAAGGCGGAGAGCGCGAGGTCGGGAGAGTAAGGAGGTTGAGGAGGCATTCCAGACTCAGGACCCATCTCCAGTGACAATCCGCTCAAAGAAGGGTCACGTTCAAGTTCGTAGCGGCGCAGCAGCTCCTGATAGGCATCGACTCGCCTCTTCATTTCGGGCGTCAGGACGAGGGATCCTTCCTGCCGCACTTTTCGGTATTTCATGGACAAAGTGCTGAGCAGAGCCATGGCTACTGACCTATAATTCCGTTGCAGTGTTAGCAGTGGTGACCCGTCAATCCTGCAGAATGATTTCCTCCGCTGCTGTACTCGCCTCAGCCGTCACAACACGTGCCTGGCCTCGCCTCGCCTCGGCGTGTCCGCAAAACTTGTGCCGCTGCTGAATTTCTTACACCATTCGTACATCTGAGTCCGATACACATGCAGCCCCATACTGTACCAACAGGCGTCAGTGGACTTTTATTGGTTTCGTGCCTTTAATATCTGGGAAGCTGAGTCCTCAACGATGCTCTTTATTAGGTTGCAACAGAGCGATCACCATATTGGCAACTCCCGTGTGGCGCCGCTGGGTCACGTGGGGATGCGGGACCAACGCCAATTGATGGCAGAGAGTCCACGCGAATGCGTACCTGGTCTCATTGCAATGAGAGCGGTTTTCGATTTTCTATAGCGGTTCTACGGTTTCGACTCGCCTACGTATCATTGCACAATTGAAATTAAACAGAAAATAAATTTTAAAGGAGGTGCGTTATTTTTTTAATTACTTTCCTTAAGAAAATATTTTTAAAATGTTAGCGTTCTATTTCCGCAGTGCGGTAGATGTGCTGAAAAATTAAATAGTTTTAAGTAATAATTTTGACCTTACAAGGTGATGAACATCCATGTCCTAATGATTGCACTTACAAAGCATTACAAAAAAACAAACATTAAAAAAATAATGAAATATAAACCGATAAAATTTAAATAAAATGAGTGTTTTGATAACAAACTGTTAAAGATCATCATACAATTGCAATATGTTGAAATTTTTCTCTGTTACATCTGATTTGCTCACCCATATGTCTATGTACCTAATGTGACCTGATTTTTGTGCTTTTTCTTTCATATATTGTTTATTTTCAGTTGCCTTACTTTGTGGAACTTTGCACGGATGGAATCTGGGGTGTTCGTAAAGCATGTGCAGAAATCTTCACAACAGTAGCAATTCACTGCACAATACAAACTCGGAAGGATACCTTGGCTCCAGTTTTTAACAATTTACTCTTAGACCAGTCTCGATGGGTGCGGATGTCAGCATTTCGGGCTCTTGGACAATTTATCGCTACCTTTGTAACTTCTGGAGCATGCAATATGCAACTTAATCAACATGGTGATTTAGTTATTCCTCATGATGATTCAAGGTTTGTATAACGTTACTATTGAAAATATTTTCCTTCTCTACGCTTGTTTTAATAATAAATATTTTGAACCTAATGCTATTATCTAAAGATAATAAAGAGTGCCATATATTATTAGTTTTTTATTAATTTTGACACCCACTTCAATCAATAATTTTATTTAAATATTTGTTTGCACAATTCATGTTGTAGTATTTGTAAATTAATTTTTTCAAATGTATTAATCATGTTTGCCTGTGTGAGCTGTGTAGATTTTTTAGGAAATCAGTAAATATGAAAAAAGTGCTATTTGTGGTTGGTGTTCATCACTGTAAGTTGAAAACATTCATTGACTAGTAGCCACAAACACTTTCACTCCCTTGTGCATTCTCACTCTCTCGTTATTTCCATACAACTCTCGTTGTCTATTAGCAGCGCTATTACTATGTATTTCTTTGTATGGAAAGAAATGTTAAAAATAGTAATTTTGTAAGTAGTTGAGTACAGACTTCACTGTAATGTAGTTTTGTAGACAATTATAAAAATGCCGTAAGATAGGACTTCAACTTTTCTGAAATCTCTTTTCAATCTCATCGATACTTATTGTCATATCTGGTACCCATTTCATATGGCGATGATTTTCTTTAGACACACACGCACTTTGCAAAATTTGAAATAAGATAAATGTAATGAATTTTGAAGAAAATATAATTTTCCCCTTCTAAAGCGTTGAATATCTAATGAAACTGGGCCGGGAGACATGGCTCAGGGCATGAACTGATGTTACTGCAGTCCTCTGACCGGGAGGTCCTATGTCCGAGTCTCGACGGTGGCAGGATTTTCGATTCTAGCTTTTCAGAGAGATCGAATTCTATTGCCGGCTGTTTTGATCGGTAGTTTTCCGTGATTTCCCCGATTATCACCAGGTAAATGCCGGAGCAGTACTCTAACAAACGGGCCAGTGGCCTCGCTCGATCTTTCCTACCTCTTCTTTGTCCTATCCTCACCCCTTACACTCACACTAACATGCACTACCCTACCACACATGCCAGGAGACGGATCGGGAGCTTAGAGCTTGCCTCGGTTGGGGCGGTGTTCCGCTGGTGGTAGATACTTGGTTGGAGAAAACTCCGCTAGCCGACGGTAGTTCGGCGCCGAATCTCGCTATACAGCTGAGGAAGACCACCGCCCAGCAAAACATGCACTACACTTACGACACCAATGTCCCGAGTCGTTTGCCATCCTTACTGTTCCATCGTTATTATCATTATTGATTAACACCACTGCATTTTTGTTTAGTACCTTCCAAACTTGTATAAAATTTAAATAAAATGAGTGTTTTGATAACAAACCATAGAGAACCTCTTTTAACTTGGTTTCAGTCAGTTTCGTGAAGTTGGAACACAGATAACTGAAACAATCCCAATCTTTTGGCAGTGATTCGACAAACTGCTTTATAATCCCCAATTTACTATGAAGAGGGGGTAATAATACTTGTTCTGGGAAAACCAAGGTCTTATTCGCGTTTCTCTCGCCGGGGTGCAAACTGTCTCAAGGAGGCCAATCAGTTTTCGTCCACTACAGCGGGTGGCTCTAATATCCCATAAACAAAGAAAGCAAGTATATTTTGTATAACTTTTCTGCTGACCCAATAACATGATTAGTATTTTCAAAGTGACTCTCATGGTCCCCTCAGAACTATGGGACACTGGACAAATTGCTGAGTCAAGGTTAGGGAAATATTTTTTTTTAAAAAAAATATTAAATCATTTCATATATACCGAACAGAAGTAGCAGTTAGTTGTAAGATTTTTCTGTTAACGCAATTGCATAGGCACACCATAATGAAATGAGTTTTTCTTATCCTTAAACCAAAAAAAGATCTTCCTGACATATTCCTCACACCTTATGCGGAACCCATGATTTATTGATCTTAGAGTTTTATTTTGAAAAGCACAAAAAAAGGAATATTTCTTCTCAAACTCGCTCATGTTTCTTTGTTGAATTTTTACTATGTATTTACCACATATACTGAACGTTTGAATGCTGAATATAAGCTCGGTGGTATAAGATTGAACTTAATGTGCTTGTTGAAACATGATCTAATGCAACAATAGATTGTTTATATTTATTCCTAGTATCCCAGATAAGTCTAAACGTGCTCATATTAATCACTGTTAATCTGTATCGACAACATGCAACCTTCCTGTTAATCCTAAAATAATTTTATCCACCACCCCTACCACTAATATGTTCTACCATTAACAATATTTTCATTTATTGCCAAGTTCAGCTATTGTTGATACAATTAATGTAAGATGTCTTACGTTTAAGGCCACTTTTAATCATAAAGTATAAAACATAATAGTATAAGTTAATTAGGAATTTTACAATAAATACAAACAAAAAAATTGAATGTGGCAAAACAAATGGCGAGATGGTAAAAACGAAAAAAATACAGCAGTATTCCAAGTTGAAATTATAAGAAAATCCTATGCAGTTTTTTACTCGTGTAATTAGTGTTGACGTCTTGTTGTCATTTAATGCCTTAATCTTTGATGGTATCCTATTTTTTTCTAAATGGGTCTTCCCTTTCTGATTTACCAAAATTATTTTGTGTTGGTGTCCATTTTGTACTATGTACTATGAGAAGGTTAGCACGACTACTACTACTACTACTACTACTACTACTACTACTTTTCTTTTTCTTTATTTTTTACGAGGGGAACTGTGAAAATCTTCGAAAGACACCTCGGAGGGACCGCTCTCCTCGGTAGTGTGAGATTTTTACCCACTAAATACCTAAAACCTTTAAGGTTCCTATTAAATGACTGTTCCTCCCCGGAACCGCTTTCGCATTACTTCAGGGTGGAGTCAAGCTGGCTAACCGTGATATTAAATATACACTATTACGTCTGTTAGCTCTTTGATCTTCTTTTTTAGTCATAATGGTCGTAATATAAATTCGATTAGTTCCCAGTTTGTCTTTGTCATTAAATGTGATAATGTTGTCCGTGGTTAATGGCTAGATCGAGCTTTTGTGTGACCCGATCCTTTTTATTTGCCCAAGTTGGGCAGTTGAACAGGGTGTGTTTCTGCGTCGTCGTTATTGTATGCACAGTAGTCACAGTCAGCGCTTATCTGTTTTTCCAATCTTTTTAAATAAGATTTGAAAGATCCGTGATCCGTAAAAGCTTGAGTCAGATGTTACGAAAACAGAGCCGTGCTTTCTTAATACCCATTTCGAAAGGTTTGGCATCAGTTTGTACGTCCATCTGCCTGTTACTTTTCCTGCAGGAATTTTTGCCATCGGTCCATTAGTTTTTTCGAGCTTCTTTCTTAATGGCTGCGCGTTTGACTGCGTCTGAATTTTCTCCCTTCATTAAATCGTACACCTCCTTACGTTCCAGTGCTAAGAGACTAATGAGCGGGACACTAGCTAGCACCAACACCGCGCTTTCCGAGACAGTTCTGTAGGCCGAAGTGATTCTTAGGGCACCTTTCCTTTGAACTGATCCAGTTTCATCCGAAGATTTTTGTTTGGACTACTTTTTCAGCCCAAGCAGGTGCCGCGTACAGCAGTTATGCGTGCATGAACACTCATAGCGCACTCTTCTTTTGCATTCGCTCGGTCCTCTTACATTTGGCATGAGCCTCGAAAGTGCAAGTATGCCGTTCCCTGGGCTCTTTCCGGCATGCCGCGATTACCTGAGAACCAAAGCTGAGCTTGTTGTCTATGTCATTTCCCAGGTAATCGAGGGATTTCTGGCAGGGTTATGTTTTGTCTTCCAATTTTGAATTTTGAGGGATAAATGATTTTCTGTCTGTAACTAAAGACTGCTTACTGGCTTAGCCGGACAGCTAATTTCCAAGATACCCTTTTCTCCGCCAACCTATGCTTGGACGGCGTTCTAAGCTGTCATTTACACACTAATTTTCAGAATCTCTGTGTGGGTTTGCCTATGCATACGATAGATAGCATCATACTGCAAAAACGAACCGTTATGACTTTCGTGGCAGAGAAAGTTTCTAACAAGCGTAGTCATATTCAGTACATTATCCATCATTAGTGGTGCCAATTTGAAGCCTTAAGGGTGCACGTGCGGGTCAATTTTGTGTGTGTTTTTCCTTACTTTTGGTATTCTATACAGTTTCGATCCGCTCAGGTAGCTTCGAACTAGGTCAAAGATTGTGTACCCAGGGGGTCTTCTTATGCTCTAAGGGCGGAGATTGTCAGTTTCCACTCACTGTTTAAATGCATATGTTTTATGTCAATTACTGAACTAAACGCGCCAGAACATCCTTTATTTCTTCTTCGTCTTTTCTTTGCAGTATTCCACAACGCAGTTTTATGGCGGTCTACTGTGGATCTTGCGTTTTTTCCGGTAGCCAAACTGGCTGTCCTGAGAGTAGTTCTGTTTGAATCAGTTGGTTTGGATTCTTTCCATAATTATTAAATCCTTCTACGATATTCATTCCCCATTGTATCAGTAGACATATGGTGGGTTCTATATGAGAGGGTTCTATTCAGGGGGCCTTTCCCTTTTTCTAATAAGGGCATTAATTGTTTGGATCTTCCAGTTGATAAAAAAATTATACCTTTATGTTATTTCCACGGCAATTTTGTTGTACATGACGCAACAGAAGCTCTGGGTAAAACTTGATAATGGTCTTCATGGCTTCGTCGGGGATACCGTCTCTGCCAGGTCTCTTATTGTTTTATAAGGTATCGCCTACTTTCTGTAGTTACCTCTACAGTAAATTTCGGATTAATTTTTCTATCGGTATATCACCTTCTGTTATCGTGTAGCTCCCGGCGTTTTGCTGACTCAGTGGGGAAATAGCGATACTTAAGTATTTTGTAGTATCCAGGGTGGGGTCGTCCAGTCCTGGCGTCTGCCTCTGAGGCACTAGTTATTTCTTTGTCACCAGCTGGAAGGTTTTCCCCATGGGTCGGACTAAACCTCTTCTATAATGGGAGAAACCAGCGTTTCACGCCTTTTTGCTGATACCTTTATGGCTTT